TTGTTAATGAAAAATGGGTACAGAGTACTATTTTCGTGTCATTACTTTAGATTCTGTCTTTTGCTCAATAAACCGGCTTTAAGATTAGTTTTCTGATAATATTTTGGCGATGGAGCACTAATCTGGGTATATGCGAAAATTCCTTTGAACATAATTCAAGCACTAATTTTAGAATTCTAGGACTTTTCTGAAGACGAAAGAAGGCATAATACTCTAACAGAATATCCACATTTGACGTACAGAAGGTATAAGGGCTACCGGCATGGCTCGGAGGCCAACCCACCTGCGAGGTACAATAGCCAAGACGAAGAGGTCTTTCACCAAAATCGAGAGTTAAACCACCAACGTAGTACGCTGATATTATGGCTCACTTTCGTGATTCACTGGCGTTTAATTTATACTAGTGATCGTAATTTGTATAGTTTCGGGGTTGAATAATTTTATTGACTGGCATCAACAATTGATTCTTTTGCGTAAATAATTCTGAATCTTATAAAGTTTTTTTTCATAGTTAATGTCTTTGCTGTTGGTAGTAATATAGCACCCCGGGACTTTTCCGAGGACTAAAGACATTATGCAAATCATTACTTGTTAGACACTCAGCTTTAGTAAAGAGGCCACTTTGGGTCCCCACCATTGTACCTTCACAGAGTGGGGTGGCATTCGGGCCAAACTGGTAGCCCCAAGGCCTTCTGTATTTCAAATGTGCATATTCTACTTGAGCATCAAGCATTTTTTCGACGTGAGAGAAGTCTCGAGACCCTACAATAGTGTAGTACGATAGTGGTTTGCCCCTCGGTATTGGTGAGGCGCCACTTTTGTACTTTGAATTAGCCCTCCTGTACCTCGCCGGATGGGCTGGCCTTTTGGGCCATGCCAATAGCCCAGACACCTTCTCTGCACTGAATATATATCCTGTCCGAGTATTGTATCTTCTTTTTTCTTCAGGGAGTCTCGGGACGCTACAATAGTACTAGAACAGCATATGTGTTATCGATTTACAGAAGGCCTGGGGCTGCTGGTATGACTGAGTAGCCATGCTACCAAGTATAAGTAAAATCACCGAGCCTTAAGTGACTTTGAAAACAAGCGGAGAATCAAACAAATAGGTAAATTATTACACAGCCCTCTCAGTTGTCTGCATTGCTAAATTTAAAGACGTTAGTGGCTTGCAATTAGCTATCAGGTAACAAGATAGAAATTCTCATATTGCAAAGAATTGTCCCTTTGTAAAACCTTAGTAAATCATCCGTGATTTATAATCGCTCACAAGTGATGTTGCGAATTTAAATACACCTTTTAAGTTTCCATATGTTACTTAAAACACAAATTTAAACGATTTAAAGTATTTCTTTTATTTAGGAGAATAATCACTTGGCGATATTGATATGCGTTTCATTTCTAAAATGTAGAGTTTTCCGATACTTCGGACCTTTCTATGTCACAGCCCCATCGCGCCTTTGGATGAAAAAATCATGATTTTATTTAGGAAAAAAATTGAATATTTAGACAACGCATGTGGTCCAAAGTTTTTATTTTGCTATGCCGGGATTAATATTAGTCTCCCATCAAGGTCATTCCTTGGCGTCCATGGATTTCGATTTCTGGGGTGTTGGTCTATTTTAACCTCGGGACCATCTTCTGTTCCATAAATCATGGCCAACTTTGATTCTACAGGCAAGTCTGCCAATCAGCTTCGTGGGGAACTTTCGAGCTGCTCATACTTATCTGAGACTTATGATCTACTAGAGGCACCAATGCAGCCTCTTGACAAAAAGCAGCAAACTCGGCTTTGGCAGCAAAATCAATATCTTGCTGATTCCGGTATCCAGTCTGCGTTAACTACTCATACTCCCAGTATTAATAGCAAGGGGAACCTGGATGAAATTGAACCTGAAGAAAGCATCTTGAGCCAGGCCTCCGGCCCTTATGTTCCCGCTTGGTCATCCAGTGGACCCATGTCCGTCTATCCATCAGAATCGTGCCTACTATCCCCTGGTACTCCAAGTGCTAGTAGCATCATTGGGATGGATCATAATAGTGAAGTCACCGGCATGACCTGCTCCAGATCCGATGCAACGATGGATATAAGGGGAAATAAAATATCCGATCTCGACACCGATGAGGCTGAAAATGCTATTCCTGAACTCGTGCGGCTCATCAAAGATGAGGATGATAAATTTGTAATCTATCAGGCCTCTACAATGGTGTTTCATCTAAGCAAGTCAGAGGCTATCGATGCTTTGATTCAGTCCAAGGAAATGATTTCGTGCATCCTTTCGGCACTAGACCCTACCGGTGATCCTGAGACTGTCAGACTTCTAGCTGGTACACTCTACAACATGTCGCAAACTCAAACTGGTCTCAAGGTAACTTGTTTGTCTTTGCTTTCTTATTTTTAGGAAATTTTTCTTGCTAATTGTGTACCTTGCCTCGTGGGACTTCTTAACTCCCCTGTTGAATCTGTCTTGTTTTACGCCATCACGACTCTTCATAACCTTTTGCTTCATCAAGAAGGCGCAAAAGCGGTTGTGCGGCAGAGTGGATGCCTGCAGAAACTGACGTCTTTACTGCAGAAGAACAACATAAAGTTCCTTACCATTTGCACTGACTGTCTGCAAATTCTTGCCTACAGCCATCAGGAGAGCAAACTCCAGATTCTTGCCGGAGGTGGTCCTACTGAGCTCATTCGCATTCTAAACACCTACCAATACGAGAAGCTACTTTGGACCACTGCACGTGTTTTGAAGGTTCTCAGTGTCTGTACTTCGAACAAGCCAGTGATAATCGAAGCTGGAGGCATGGAGGCTTTGGCAAAACACTTGAATAACACTAGCTCTCGTCTGGTGCTTAATTGTCTGTGGACGCTACGGAACCTCTCTGATGCCGCCACCAAACTGAATGACCTCCAACCCATCCTTCAGACGGTTGTTCAACTCCTCGGCAGCAATGACCTGAACATCGTTACTTGCGCTGCTGGAATCCTCTCTAATCTCACATGTAATAACAGTGCCAACAAGTTGATTGTATATAGGGTAAGTGACCTCCTTGCTGTACCTTATGCCTTGGCATTTAGAGAGGAGGTCTACGCGGCCTGTTGCACGCACTTGGACATTGTCACGCAAAGGAGGAGATCCTGGAGCCCAGTATGTGTGCACTGCGTCACCTAACAAGTCGACACGAAGAGGAGGAGAAGGCGCGTAATGAGTTTGTCACCCTACTCGGTGGCCACATCCCTGTGGCCCATGTTCTGCACGCTGCGACGGCTGGTGTATGTCCGGAGCTCGGCCTTGTCTGTCAACCGCCACATAATCCCCTCACTTCGTGGACTCTTATCAAGGCGGTGGTGGGTCTGTTACGAAATCTCTCCATGAATGTCGACAATCACCGGCCTATGCTAGAGGCGGGGATCGTCGCCGGCCTTTCTGTCCTCCTCTACGCCACCCAGTACGAAATCTCCAAGGTGAGTCTGACTGCCCTCAAATGCATGGCTCGATCAACAGCCTACTCCATAAAACTAGATATGGTGTGTTTTTGTTTTGGTATTAAGTTTGAAAAATGTGATTTCTTGACCTTTGGCCGCACTAATTTGTGACCTTGTATTGGTCTATGATAAGTGTCTGGAACACTTAATCAGTTGCGCATCCCTATACGTACTATACTTTCTAATCATTATTTCTTCGAATATTTCGAGCCATGGTTTCTATTTTACGTCCCTTGCTTATGGCAGTTTCTACTGCTGAATGAGGGTTGACTTTGGCTTCAAACACATCGAAGGCTCACCAATTCCCTTAGTTTTAATGTTTTCTTATGCATGTTTTCTTCCATTTTTCCACCATATCTCGTCAACATGGCAGATTGCATTATCGACTTGTACCATTGACATTTAGCAAATTTGTCGAGGGGTCAACACTAATGATGGGAATATCCTCTTTTCCTGGTCTCGTTAAATAAATGTCAGAACTCCCGCTTATCCTACAGCAAAAATCTGCACCAATTTCAGGCAACATTTATAGGTTGCAGTTTTAAATGTGAGCATCATAGACGGTCCAGTTCCTATGCTGCATTCTTCGCCTACTTTACAGGATTACATTCATGTGAAATTTAAAAATAACTGGTCTTGCACTTACAAACGAATTTATGAACTAAGTAAGACTTAATAGTATCTCTTCTACAGTACTGCTTTCAAAAAAGCCACCAAAAATTGGCTCAAATTTTAGAGAGTTCTAATAGGGTACAGTAAAATATGACTTGAAATTCCAAAGTAGAGGAATCTTTGCAAGAGATAAACGATTTAAGCTATTCATGGTAAAAGCGTAAAAGTGGTTTGCAGGTTTTGAATCCAAACGTTGCAAAATTCTCTAAGACCTCCATCGGTAGTCGAAAAGGTATCTCGAAGCGAGGAAACGTCACGCCGTCTGATAGGAAATTTGTTCCCGCCATGCCATTACGCAAAGCTGGCTGGGGTGACAAGAGCGCGACTCCCGTTTATTAACTGGTGCAAACAACGTCTTGAATTTAGCCAGTTGACTCAAGCCTTGCCATCGAAACCGGACGATATAAATTTTATGCTTTCGCAGCTGAATGCACAAAAACGAGGTTAAAAAAATAAGAGTGTGTGTGGCCTCCTACTGCTGTGGCCGAAGGGACTCCAGGGGATGCATTTTTTAAGGCTGAATTCGTCCTTGCAGATTTATCCCGTGTGAAACAAAAATTTGCAATTTATTAATATCGACTGGTCCTCTTTAAGTAGAGGAAAATGAATTCGCTACTTTTAAAAGAACATGCTGAAGTGACATACCTCGGGACAATTTCTTGCTTTGGATACGCTATTTTGCTGCGTCCATTCTGCACCCCATACTTACCAAATAGGATTAAATTGGGACGAGAAAGGTGAAATGTCCTGTTTAGCCAATACCAACTATGAGAGGTTGAAATGGTTCAATTTGTACGATTGAGTGAACGCTGCCGTAACAGTCGACCATTGATTGAAAAGGTTTTCGCCTAGGCCGGTCCGTGTCCACTCGCTTGAACGTGGACAGGCCCTTCACTGGCGGAAGTGAGTCATCGTCCCTGTTGAGTCATCACGACAACTGCACCGCACTCCCCCATTGATGCTTCGACTGTGACTACCAAAAGTGGCGGGCGATGTGTATGGGTGCGGTTTCGCAGCGGTGCACTTGACGTGGCAGTGGGAGAGGAGTAAGGGAAGGGGAAATCAGGCGTCTGACAATTCCTTGTTATGTTTGTTGTGTTTGATAAGCCACGCGGTCAATGCGGCAGTTTGGATGCGGCGGGCCACCCAATCACCTGCTCCTCATTGGGTGTGGTGTGGAGTTACTCTGGTTTCATTTTGTCTCGATTACATCACACAACTAGCCCCAAGAAGTTACATAGAGTTCTGCACTTTTTTCGCTTCTGCCTCAATCACTACATCAAAACCGCCGACACCACCCATATCCTCCTCAGTAGGCACAAATACTACCAGCGTGGAGCTGTTCGCGTTCTCATTATGCCCCATGGCTGCCCAGTTTGCTTAATTTGTCTTCTAGTCAGTGTACTGGAACTAACACTCTCGGGGTGGATGATAAATGCAGTCATTACGACAGCCTGGATCACTGACATGGTGCCACACTGGCCCACCCGCTCCTGTCTGAACGCTAGTGGTTTTTGTCTTCCCCCTCACATTAGCCATAATCGTCCTGGTGATGCTAGAACCGCCAAACTAGCTGACTAGTGCACACGTTCTTGCGTGTGTTTTGGAAAAATAAATTACTTCATTCCAAATGTTTTCGATATACCAAACTTGCACAAACTTTGGCATTCTCACAACGTTCTAAATCTTAATCATTTCGATTTTGACAATTGTTTAACAACAACAGCGTCCTGTTTGCAGGTCCTTGCACTAATCCAGTTCACGCATCACGTGCTTTTCAGGATGAAGTGCCTCGATGGGGATTATGCCCTGGGCAAAGACTGTTTCCTTATACCCAGTCTGCTAGTTGAGCCCTCCTGTTGTACCGCTGGTGGTGTACCTGATTTTTTTTAATAAAGACCATCCGGGGAACACTAATGTGGCAATTTAACCAATGTGTAAACCGTCATGTTAGCTTGATTCCAATGATCACACGACAACCATTTCACCCACTTCGAATAGTGTTGCAGCAGAGGGGCATCGTCTAGAATTTGAACCTTGAAAGACTATTTTATTCTAATTTTGTGTCATTCTTGCGTGATGGAAACTTCCGGGTCACCCAATGGTGCCTTTTTATTTCAACTGTTTACGTACAGTAAGTTGTGAGTAGGCGCTACAGTTTCGAAGGCTTATTAATCGGATCATGCTTGGTTTGAAAGCCGCCTGAGTGCGGAGTTTCTGCAGGCGTGTAAGCTCGGTTTACAGGTGCACTGGTGTCTCGTTGCCGTTTTGCTTGTTGGTGGTATTTCGGTAAACCAAGTAGTCGCTGTCTTGTAGGCGCTGACCCAAATTTCAAAGCAGCCGTCACATCGTATACACAGGCGCTGGTTCCGTCGCTTCTCGTGTGTTTTACTTTCACCTATGAGTGGTCTATTTGAAGTTCTAAGTCTGTCTGCATGATTTGGCGGTAATTGGATGATATTCGAAAACAACAATGGATTTTTGTACGTGGCCTATTTCAGAAATACCATGTACTTGGTCAACAGATTTGTCTGTCGTACTGCCTCAAATAACATCCAGTGCTGTCCGTCTACATTTTCTGGTTTAAATTGTCGTATGTGCACCGATTTCTGTCTATAATTCAAGTTATGAACACAAAAGTCAGCATACTTCCACATTCAATTTAGTCATCCAGAGTCGGGTCTAAAACGCGTTTTAAAACTAAAATGCTAAGCTTGGAATCGTCACTGGAAGACATCACTGCCTTTCGGTTGTTTTCACCAAATCCGTTTGTATCACTTTCATTTTCCACTAGCGGTTATACCGGTGCTAATTATCTGAGCTAGACTATTTAATACTTGTTCATAACTGCACAAATTCCGCATTTGTTTATGTCGTTCAACCACCTGAACACGGCCACATGTCAAGTTAGTGCGGACGGAACAACACAGGAAACTGGTTTCAGTTTTTAGTCGTAATTTTGACGGGATGGCAGTCACCATCACTTGATTAGGGTTACCAGCAGTTCGTGTACTGATATCAAGATTCCCCACTCATATCTACCAACGCATGAAACTTACGGACAGTTGCTCTGGACAAATTCCCGGGGATCGAGGGTTGGCCACAATTAGTTGTAATGCGGCCATATTGGGTGTTGAGTTGAGTGTATGAAATGAAATCCAAACAGAGCATGCCACCCTTGCCGGCTTGGTTTTTCGTATCGGGAGTGGTTGGGCCAAGATCGCGACTCACGTGGAAGGCATGCTGCCAACAGCCACCGCAACCACTTCAAACGCTCTGTGGCCAATAAGAAGGTTCGTAAATTGCCAATCCGCTTAGACACACATTGTCACTCGATAATTTCGCCCTCCTCCTTCATAAATCACTTCCTCCAACTTCGGATTAGTTGGACTTCCTCTTGCACCACTGGAACTTCTCCAACCTCAGAAGATGCAATTCTGATGGTTGAATAGAATAAACAACGCCGTCAACAAAAAGGCCTCGGAGCGTTTTGCTGACATAATAATTAGGTAAACCATATGGTCGAATCGTTGTTAAAAGTGGGAACTGTGTGGTGTGTAGTTTAGTGTTAGTCTTTCTTATCTCCATCAACGCACGGGAAATATTATTTAAGAAGCCTGTTATTCATTGTGCAGTAGAAAAACCCACTCCATGTACACATCACGGGCGGTCATCTGCCGCTTCTCAGATCGGGGTCACTCATCCAGTAAATAATTGTTTTTTCGAATCTTGAAATGGAAATGAATTCATCTTGTTCGCTCAAACACAGGCTTTTTTTCCGCATCTGGTTTCTCGCCAACTTTCTTTTTTCTCATGTCTGCCCTGTTAATTAATGCAAATCACATGCTAATCTAGCGCTCTTGAGTTGCAAAATTTAACAGGACAAGAAAATGCCTAGTCCTCTATTGCCCTTGCGTCCTTTTCACGTGGGAGCATCCGACCAACAACTAATCCACTTGTTGTGGGATATCTGTTTAGTTTATCTATTGTTTCCTTCCCTAGCGCAAAGCCGCAGCGCAGCGCAATGGCAACGGAGCCGCCCTTAGTGGGTCCCAGACGATGGTTCACAACGTGCGTTTGGAGGAGATAATAGAGGGAATCTGCGTAGCCATGCATATGCTTTCGAGGGAACCTGGCACTCGTCTCCATCTTTCGAGGTTCAGGGTGAGTCCTCATGCATATTCATGCCAGTTACTCCCCCTTTTCTCTCATTTTAACTTTACTGACGCAGAAAGTCTAGTAATTGTATTGCTATTGCTGATTCTACTAATTACATCATTCAATCCTATGTGGAATATGCCTGTTCTACCGTAATTTGGCTAAGGTGGACAATGGACAAGTCAGTGCTTAATTAGCAAACAATGCCTGCACCGATGATGACCATTTGCCCACTTAGGGGAGCCTTCAGTTACTGCAATCCACTAACCCTATCACCTTTTATGAATGGATTCAATTCTGTGGATGAGTGCATGCTAGCATGTCATTTAGAAATATCTCATATACGCCAAAAGTTCTGACATAATCATACCACACACAATCGTTTAAAGATTGACCTTTTTCACTTCCGACCAAAAAGTATAAAATTTTGAACCTGGTCGGGGAGCTTCTTCCTCCCTAAGATGTTTGTATTGACAAAAGCTCTATCTTGAAAGGTTAATTTTGAAATTAAGCACAAAATTTGGTATTACGAAGTTCCAACCCTCAGTTAGAAGCACTTGCAGAAGTCGAGTTCGCACAGAACTCAACGAACCAATTTAAGCTGACCACGGTGTTCTCGATCAGGAAATGCAGGAGGAATGGCGTTCATTCGCATTTGTGCATTGATTAGAGAATGCAAGACTAGGATTTGCGGCTCGGCTCCTTCCCTACTCCTTATTAAGTTTTACCTGCAATGAGTTATTGTATGATACCAGTATTAACATACTTCAGAAATGTATAATCCGAATTCCTTTAGCATAATTAGGGAATTGGATGGATTTTTTTCCACTTTTTAAACAGCATTATGAAATCCATGTCTGTCTAGCATAAACGAAGTAGCTTCACTTCAAGTGGCACTGACTATTTGGTTGATCTCCTTGTAAGACGGCGTTTGCTTGTGTTTAAGAGCAGCTCAGCTGTTTACATGCCTTTTAGAAGTCCCCTGCCGCGTGCAGACTTTACCGCTGCCCCTGATGTCGTTGTTATTGTTGATGCTCCTACTGCTGCTGCTGCTTTTGTAATCAACCTGAAACCTTGCTGGTGGTGCAGGATTGAGGTGCCTGTCAATCTCATCAGATTACCAGCCGCCACATGTCACTGTCGGCATTCACTGTCACATCAACCACCAAGCTAGCTAGGTTCACCAAAGTGGTCTAGCACACCTCACGGGTCCTTTTTTCTTTCTGGCGTGGAACAACAGGCTTCAAATGGAAGAGTAATCAGTTGTTTAGGCGCATTTGCTCTTTTGTAAAATACGACCATTTAGGTGGTTCAACTGCCGATTAATGGCAGCTGGTGCGACCACCTCAGTGTTTGTGCTATTATGCGCACGTCCGTATGGCATGACAATTGAAATTGTTTTTAGCAGTTGTCTTGAAAACCAGCTGTGACGGTTCCATCCTCTTTTCGGTTCTCTAATCCAAAGTTTGGATTTCATTACATTACCAAATTGTTAGGATTTTTAATTCTGTGTGTGGAAATACGCGATGTCTCATAATGCTGGTGTGCAATGCATTTTTAGCAGTTCAAGAATGGAGTATTCCAGTTTGGAGTGGAAAAGTCGCTTCAGTTTATCTTGTTAGCATAAACATTTGTTACACCGCGTTGTTAAACCAATGATTGGCAAATTCTGGCTAGATTGGGCAGAAGTTCAATATGCTAGAGAGGGCTTGCCATTGACCCATGAGGATGTTTACCTCCTCGAATTGATCACGCTGACTGCCAGTAGCTGTGACGAAACGTAGCCAGTAATTGTCCACTTCTATTAACTCTGCATGAGCATCACTCTTAATGCTTTTGTCAGTTTTCGTACCTTCGGGATGCCTGTACCCAAATATCTTATTAGCTTTCGACGAGTGGCAGCACTATGTTTATCCGGCTGCGTCTAATCAAATGGTGGACTTTCCTCGTATTACAGCTGCTCATTGCTTACGAAGCACTTTAATAGGGGCTGATATCATGGGCGTCAATGTCTAAGTGCCAATTCTTCCGGTGTCCTATTTTGCGTCGTACACGTGACAGCAAACTAATTTATTAAGCGTAGCCCTATGCCGTAGGGATTCGCTTTGGGAAGTGTCACGTGTAGATGCGAGGTTCTTCGTGTAGTTGCTTCTGACAAGTAGTGTCTAGTTGCATTTACTGTCTTTTTCATAAAT